ATATTCATGGGTCTATATTTATGTGAAAATCAATCAAAAAGTGTATATTAATTTGCTATTATTAGTTAGAACAGCAATCCTATAGCATGTGCCATTTTCCCTTATCTCCGATATCTATTTTTATGATCATTTTCGGGAAAGATTTATGCGTGTAGTTGAACTAATAGGATCTGTTGACTAAACCTCCGATCGCTTTTAGATTTTGATCTCCATCTGTATAGTATTACGTGCAACTATTCTCTATTTTATTTATATTACATGCTTCACATTATATTATATTATATTCTCAATTCTATTACAAGGCTTCAGTTGAACTTGTATAATATTTTTAAAATGCATTCTATACTTTTTTATTAAGCTAGTTTTATATCTACGCAATTTAACATTTTATATATTTGCCCATTATATTTTTGTTTTAAATACGATTTACGTCAAACGAATCTAAATTATTCAATATCATATTTTAACAATTCATGCGTTAAAAAAATAAATAAAATGGTAAAAGTAAATATATCTAATGTTATAATTATATTAGTCTATGATAGTTCGCTCCTATTATATAGCCAAAACGTTTAGGCTAGATTTTAATTTATAAATATAACGTTTTATTTTTTAATATAGAAAACTAAATATCGAATATGCAGATTTTAAAATAAATTTTATAAATGAAATAAATTATTTATCTAAAATAAATTCGTTTTAAAAATACCTTCAACATGTAAAGTTATATATCAATACGATGTAAGTTATAGAAATACAGTATTTTTATTATATATAATCAAACAAACTTTGATATTTTAGTGCTTTTCTTCTAAAAGCTATGAAAATTGGAGATAGACCTGTGTTGAGAAAACAAAATATTCGAAACTAAATTTATAATAATCATTCTTATTAAAGATTTTTTTTTTCGTAAATGATTGATAAAGTTTATTCAAAAAATTTATTAGAAATTTAATTAATGGTTCAATATTTATTAACAAACTTTTATATTTTAAACAATTTAAATAAGTTTTAATATAAATAATTTAACGTAAAATTGGGCCTTTTTATTATGTAGGCTTATTTACAATAAATAAATAAATTTATATAAAATAATTTATTCATTTAAATTTTTAACAATAAGTACAGTACATTTGTCATTCTTACATATGACATTTTAATAAAACAATTATTATTGTTATTATAAAATTAAAATGTAAACATATATTTACAGTAGAGTTAATGGAATATTAACTCTTATTTAAATATATTTTATTTAGTTGGATCTATATTCTCTTTGGTATAGACCGATAACCATTTAACAGATAGATCAAATAAATTTAGAATACATCTTAAAATTATGAATAGATCATTTACTAATGTACAAAATAATTTAATTTCATAAAATTTTGCTAACTTATTATTAATTAAAAACTGTTAATTTCATATAAAAGAGCAACAGAGGAAATAATTTATTAATGAATTCTTTTTAGAATTGTATACATTTTCTAGATAAATCAACCAAACTCATTCCTAATTCAATTTCAGATTGCCTCTACTATACAAACGTATATCTAACAATGATGAAAGTTTCTGTTACATATTTACATCTCGATATAAAAAGAAACAATTTTTATATTTATTATCAAAATAGACAATGTAAAAACATAAATAAAATATTCCTGTGATTAAATCAATAGTTGTAAGTTTATTAAATAATTTATAAAAAGAAAATCTAAGATCTTAGCCAGATCAAATTAAATGTTACTTTCAGCTTTATATTAAATCTATTTAGTTTATTAAGAAAATGCGCAAGTAAGAATGTTTAAGTTGTTGATGATTAATATTATATTTTACAATTAAAAATTAATATTTTTAATTGTTAATTACAAACGGTTATTGATTATATAAATTGAAATTAGTTCAAAATCAAATAATTACTGCATTTGAAAACATTTTGATTGTAATTTGTGATTGAAATTAAATTCACTCACCTGTAAATAAATATGACAGATTTAACAGAAATAATAATAATAAAATTTAAAGATATGTCGAGAATTTCCCATGACATGTCTTTGTAACTTTACAAAAAAATTCGATATAAGCCTAAGCCGATCAATCAGACGCATATCTCTAGATGTGTGTTTGCTAGAAGACTAAGAGATTTTTCTTATAGAATTTGACAGTACAAATTTTTGCTTTTCTTTTAATATTATTGACAAAATCGAAACTCAAATCCATAAATACGTCAAAAGAAAACAATCTTCTTTACGTGGTATCAGTCGATTAAATATATTATAGATCAGCTTTCAGTAAATAATAAAATAAGATGTATCTAATATAATTTAGATCTTATGATTAATCTGTATATAAATCTATAATTTTATGATTTTTTTTTAAACAGAAGCTATGTAGGTCTAACTTAAAATTGATCTAAAAAAATGAATTTTTTTAAAGTCATTGTTATATAAATCCAGTTGGACTTACATTTCCGTAAAGAATTTAAAATACGAATAAAAATAGACACGGGGATGGAAAAAGAATCTCTTATTTTATTTAAATAAACATTTTATATATTAAATTTTTAAAAAATGTCTTTTCAATCGTTATAGAAATATAAATCAAATAACAAATCTATAAATCTATATAGTTTTAATTTAATTTTTGTAAGATTGTCTTTACAAAGCCTATTTTATTTACTTATTCCTACGTATTATTAAAAGTGAAAAAATTTTCCAATATTAGTTTATATAGTTCTATTTAAGGTCGTTTAAAAGTTATTCTCTGAAAATTCTATCATTTATAGGTTTAATAAGATTGTATTCATATGTAGCTTTCAGACAAAAAACAAAAAAAAAACACTAATTTAAGTTGATGACAGAGTGTGGCCATGCTTTTTCTGCGGGAGGCCACACCTTGAAACTCAGAAGCATCAGTCAACTGATTACTCAGTGTGAACGTGTGTAGCCTAGAGAAACCTCTATTGTTCGAAGCCGGCAACAGGGTGCCTCTCCGATTATGCTCTGTCATTACTACCTCGCCAACAGACAATTCTTAAAAACTTTCCATAGATAAAATTTCATCCAAACTGCTTTTTCATTTTAAAATTACGTAGCCAATTAATTAATTCACGCTGACATAATATAATTGAATAAAATGTTTATAAACTAATATTCATTCCTTAAAAATCATTGATAAAGATAAACGTAGTCAAAATTTACTCTTGGATAACAGCAACATTAGAGTATTCCGTTCGATATTCATGGGTCTATATTTATGTGAAAATCAATCAAAAAGTGTATATTAATTTGCTATTATTAGTTAGAACAGCAATCCTATAGCATGTGCCATTTTCCCTTATCTCCGATATCTATTTTTATGATCATTTTCGGGAAAGATTTATGCGTGTAGTTGAACTAATAGGATCTGTTGACTAAACCTCCGATCGCTTTAGATTTTGATCTCCGTGCAACTATTCTCTATTTTATTTATATTACATGCTTCACATTATATTATATTGTATTATATTCTCAATTCTATTACAAGGCTTCAGTTGAACTTGTATAATATTTTTAAAATGCATTCTATACTTTTTTATTAAGCTAGTTTTATATCTACGCAATTTAACATTTTATATATTTGCCCATTATATTTTTGTTTTAAATACGATTTACGTCAAACGAATCTAAATTATTCAATATCATATTTTAACAATTCATGCGTTAAAAAAATAAATAAAATGGTAAAAGTAAATATATCTAATGTTATAATTATATTAGTCTATGATAGTTCGCTCCTATTATATAGCCAAAACGTTTAGGCTAGATTTTAATTTATAAATATAACGTTTTATTTTTTAATATAGAAAACTAAATATCGAATATGCAGATTTTAAAATAAATTTTATAAANTTTCAAGTGCTGAATTCAAGGATCCAGATCCGATCATAAGAGTCTTTTCTTTCTATATACTATACATTTCATAAACATTAAAAATATAAAGAATATTGATCTGAATAATGGATAATATATATTGATAAAGATTTTAAATTGAAAGTGCTATTTGCATTTAGAGTTTTATTCTGTAAACAAACAATTAAAATCTAAACGTGAATGTAAACAATATTAAAAGAAAGATATAAAAAAATATATATAAATGAAAAATTAAAAGCTCATTAATTATTTATATCGATTCTATTTTTAAAATATTAAAGTTGCATTTTTACATATAACTTTTAATTAATAGCTTAATGCAATTTTTTAATAGTACTAATTTAATTATCAAATCATTCGAGAAAAATGGTAAAAATTTGAAAACCCTCAGTCTAACTAAATTAGTGAAAATACAGCTATAAATTGTTTAGCTTACTTGTTTACAATGCAAATTTATTCGTATTTTAAGCCTAAACAACTTCATTATATAAAATAGACTATGAAAACAGAATTGAAAATTTCAATTAATTTTAGCGTTTAAAAGGAAGGGAATATCTGATAAAATATGAAATAGTTTTTCGGATTTACTCGGATAAATATGTTTGTATGCTTATCTTTAAAATTAAATGAATTTTCATTTATTTTTTAAAAAGATAGAGTAGAAAAGGGAGAAAAATAGTTAAATATTTTAACTATTTTTCTCCCTTGGAATAATTATGAAGAATATGCAAAAATTAGAAACTTTAACAAAATAAATATTTTTCAGCCATAATAATAAACTTTAAGAAAAACTTTTAAAATTCTTTCTTATAATTTTTCTTTTTTAAACTTTCTTTTATAGTTTTATGTCTCGTGAATATTTTCGTTACAGTATTACAGTTTCATATTTTCATGAAACTTTTTGACAAAAATATAAATAAGTCTAAATTATGTAACTCTTAAAATGGCAACGCAAAAGGATTATATTTATATAGAAGAGGTAAAGAATGAAAAATTTTGCATTACTTCCACAATTAATATTTTTCTTCAATTTTTTGGGTTAATGTTGAAAATGAAGTATTTAAAATTTTGTCCAATATAAGAGATATTTCTGCGTTGTAGTTTCTATCAGGCAGACATTAGAATAAAATCTTGTTTACGGGGATCGTAATCCAACATTTGAGCGCGAAACACGACAGAAGAGAGAAATTCAATGAAGCGAGTTACGTTAAAGCCCTTTAGTTCGACAATTCGGACAATAAAACGAAGAAGTGACGTCACGGAGGATATCCGGTGCGATCTTCTACTCTGAACGTGATCGATTCTCGTCTCCATGGTTACGCACGAGCCGACGCCGCCGGCCAATCAGCGAGTAAATCACCTGCGGCTTTTGGTAAAGCCCGCCGCTTCATCAATTAGAAGTGGCTGTGATTTGGTGGAAGACCAACAAATAGAGGACGCTGTCGTGTTTGATGATTGAAGCGGCTCGGAGTGAAGAGTTAAAAGCGACATTCGCTGCAACTTCAAAAGAGATGGCGATATCGGGTTGAATCGGCATACTTTTAGTATACGACATGTCCACTTCCGTTTCGGACGCGAAAAATGATAAAAGTGACGCATTGAACAAGGAACAAGAAACAGACTCCGAATCGGGAACAAAATCGGATTCTGCCGAAACTGAAACTAGCAAACCTCGCTTATCGGCCTTCACACCAGTGACTGGTGGTCATCACTTGTCTATAAACCCCTCCTTGCTCGGACTATCGGACTATCTGGGAGCCAGGGTACTTCCATTCGCCGCCAAATTCACCGAACTCTCTAAACCTCACCAAAGTGGAGAAGTGAATGCAGCTCAGCCACTAATTCTTACCGGAAGGACTTCAGCTGTTGGATCAGCTACTGTCCCAACCAGCGATGGAACACCAGGGTCCAGCCTATCTGCTCACAGTCCAGTATTTCGGCCACTTTTTCCAGCGGCAGGATTGTTTCCTACCGCTGATCCAGCTCTCATCTATCGAGGATTTGGAGAATTTCCTCTGGCTCCGACAGGGCTACCACCTTTCTGTAAGTAAATATATTCACTTTTTAAACGTAGATGATTACTTAAAGATGTGCTTAACACGCTCTAACACTTAGATATGTAAGATGTTGTAAATTAGATTAGATAAATATGTAAAAAATATTCATATCAACTAGTACAATTCCTCCTAAGATAAAGTGGGTGCGGTTGTCTGTGTCCCATTCTTCCGCTTATTTATTATTCATATGCTCACGAGTGTCTACAGAGGAGATCAAACCTGGCTACTAACCTATTTTACTTCCTACATGTAGCCTAACATTTTTAAGAGGTTAACCGAAAAGAAATGTTAGCAACAGATTCCAGTAATAAAATTCAAATCTTTGTTTCGACTCAGATTCAGAATGACTAGAGACACGCACCTGAAATAATATCCATCGAGGAATAGCCTTTATATAACGTATTTTAAAAATATTCGTTTTTTCGGCTAATACTTTTGACCAAAAATGATTCTATCTTAATGGACTCCTGAACTAGGCCTACAAATTGGAGTAGACTCGGCCTGTTTTAGCAAATTCCTAAAAAATTAATTATATTTAATGGTTCAGAATAGTAAAATATGTTAAATATTTTCAATAAGTTCTATTTTATTTAAAATGGAAAAAAATAAATTGATAAATTATGCTAAGAAAATAAAATTTATTACACGAGACTGCTGCATTATTAACTTTGATTTAACATTCACTAAACAAGCTCATTATAAGAATGCAATATAATTAAGGTAACGCATCGTCTGTGCTTGTTAGCAGCATTACGAATGAGTCGGTCATCGTGTGAACAAGGTTAAGTACGAAAGTTCGGGTTAAACAGCTAATGCAGAAAATTATGTATCCCAATTAACCGCTGTCTCTCTTGTCTGGTCGTCTTCCGACGCTTGCCATATGTCGACCGGACGAAGGAAGCCGTGGGAAATAACTCTGCACACATTTTCATTTGTCACTCGAGCGATACAAATCTCTATTCACGTATTAATTTCTTAAAGTTTAATTCGACCAAACTATAAAAGAAGATCTGTGATGAGGTCTGTAGCAATCCAAATCTTTCTACGTTTTATTCCATTAGTTTTATTTGAACAGCATGCAATAAAAGAATGCAATTTTCACATATCCTGTACAAAATGCACGGAAGAGTTTCATTTTATATTTACTGTTAGGTGCGAACTATTTTTATATAAGCTCTTGTCGCACTTTAGACGTCATTTTCTGTTGTTGTGAATAAACACGTGTTTCCTCACCTCTAAGATATCTTCATGAAAAAAATGTAATAGAAGAATTGCATATAGACTACGAGTTATTTCCATCTATAGTGCGTGTTTTATATAAAAACAAATCTAGATCTTTGCAAGATAAACTATCATTTTCGGCAAACATATGATCTGGAATAGATGGAGAACCCAGACTTAGATACATCTTCGTAAGACAACTAAACGAAAAGTGGCTTCTCTCTTAGTCATTTCGGTCATTTAAATCGAAATTTAAAAGAAATATATACCACTTTTTTTATCATTCTTTATTTGAATCGTGTTTATTTTTTTAAGTCCTACTTTAAAATAAATAAATAATGTTCTTATAACTTATTGAACGTTCGATTTATGTTGTAATATTGTAAACTTTAGAGTAGCTATATTTAAACAAAGTTGACAAATTTAATATTTCCGAAATATAAACAAAATTGCAAAATTTACATTGTATTTTTTTCAACATCTCGAAATGTCGATTATTTACATTCACACAGCGTCATGCAAATTATAAATATTTGTATAAATCTTACGTTTAAAACTATCTCTGAAATGATAAAAATATATAGGAGTGAAGAGTTAAAAGCGACATTCGCTGCAACTTCAAAAGAGATGGCGATATCGGGTTGAATCGGCATACTTTTAGTATACGACATGTCCACTTCCGTTTCGGACGCGAAAAATGATAAAAGTGACGCATTGAACAAGGAACAAGAAACAGACTCCGAATCGGGAACAAAATCGGATTCTGGACATAACTTTAAATTTTTTGAAATTGTATGTTAAATATTTATTAAATACTTTTAATTGAGCAAGCTGGTAAAGATTTGCTAAGAAATTTAATATAAAACATACAGATTTAAGCTTATATTATTTTATGCAAGGTTCTATAATCCTAATTGGATAAATATTAGAACAACGTGTAATCGAAGAAATGAGATAAAAGCTAAAATGAACAATTAATTATGCTTACTTAACTCTCAACTTTTGAAATTTTAAACCAAATTCTGAACTGCTTTAGAATTTCATTTAAACTTTCAGAAAATACGGATAAAAATTTCAGTTTATTTGCTTATTTTTCTTCTGAATTTATCTGTTTTTATAAACCCTAAAATTGAAAGGTTTTACCGCTTGAAATAACTTAAATCCTAATTATAGTTTACCGCATTTATATTTGAATAGCAAAGCATTACCGTTAAAACTAACTGTCAAAACTAGATTAGCACGTTGGCTCGCAATTACAGGAAGGAAGGCATTATAAGAGGTTATTTTTATACTAACATCCTTTTTTTCGTCCCTCTACATCCGGTCGAATTGCCCACCCTCTCTTTATTTTTCATTACCTCAATTAATGCGAGTCCACATGGTGTCGCTGGCCCGTGGCATCATTTCCTGGCCCACGGGGAGGAGATAGAGATGCGGTAAATATCTAATGGGCAAGGGCACATCGTGCGCGTGGCATTTCACCCCATCTCCTCCCCTTATCATTCAAACGGTAGCGGAACTACAAATGAGAAGCTCACGTTGCGTCGGTAGGCGGACACATTCGGACAGATGCTCCTATAGAACAATGTCTATTGTCTACTTTCCGCTCGCGCATCGACAATTGTAATTGCCTATTTCATTGTATCGTGTTCATACGAGATGGCATGTTACAATTCAAAATTCCAATAATGACAGACATTTTTAATGTTTGAACTGTTTGATTCCTCTTTCTTTAGTCAACGGATCTAAAAAATGAGTATGCTCTAGTAAAAAAGATGGAAAGCTTAATTGTTCTATTTTGACTAAAACTAAATAAAATATAGTCGTATTTATTTCTATTTCTTCAGTCTTGCTATTGTTTGCGTTAAGAATAAAGATACAAATATTTCTAGAACGTTTTTTGTAGCGTTGAACAGTTCTATATTTATGTTTTGCAGTATACTAATGTTATTAATTTAGCATACATCCTATCTTAATTATTATCAGATTAACTAGGACTCGAAAGTACTGTACTGTACTGTACAGTACAGTACAGTTCGTTATAGGCACGAAGTATATTTTTCCTACTTACGATTCTTTCAACTTAAAAATATCCATTACATGCAAAACCTTTATGAATTAAAAAATATATAAAATTTTATAGCCATTAATATCCTTATAGTGTACTGTATTGCTTTTCGTTCTCCTATATTTTCCAGAACTTCAATTATTCGATTAATTTACTTATACTAAGTAAAATCTCAACAGTTCTCAATAAATATGATATAAACTTATTTCTACATTATTTATAAGCGCGTATTTGTAACATTAAAATCATCAAAATCTACACATTTTGAACATCAAAAAACTTAAATTAGAATTAAATTTTAATTAAAAATTCAAATCCTGATTAAAATTTCACGAAACAATATTTAAAAACTGTATAGTTTAATTAAAATCTATAAAACTAACCTATTCATTTGGTAATAGTTCAAGGCCTATTATAGTAATCTATCTCGTCTTATAAAACTGAGTTTTAAAACGAGAGCAAAATAACTTATAAAAATATTAATATTAAAAGTTAATATTTTAAGTGGAAAGGAAAGTGTTTAGCTTGTATAGAAGAAAATTCACTGAGGAGGGAAATGTAATTTCCGAAATGCATCTTGGTAAAATAAAGTTGTTCGTTGGCTAGTGATTACGGCCTCTGTGGATGTGACAATTCCTAGAAAATTAAGGTGTTTTGACCGGTCTTATATTGAAATGCTAAAAGTTAATTTTTATTAAATTAGCCTAAATTTTAGATGTCGATTTACACACTAAATATAGAATAACTTAATTTTTTAAACTTATCGAAACCATTGAATTTTACTGACAAAACGAAGTGGCATAGATGAACATTTTTGGCAATTAAACTGATCTAAAATTAATAATGTTAGTTTATATGAAAAACTTAAAATAGTTTTGATTAAATTAACAGTTTAATTATTTATTCAAGTAATTAACTCTTAGTCTAAATGAACTTTTCTCACGCTCCAGTTAGAGCTAGTCCAACAATAACATTGATCGAATTATTATTTTATCTTCGTTATTTTATTAAAAATTCAAAATAAAAATTTCGATAGAGATATTTTCGTATTTTATTTAAATTATATTCAGAAAATTTATATAAATGTTTTGTTATAAACTAGCAAAATTAATACGAGAAAGCTATGTTTAACATTTATAACTTATCTAGGGACCTAGTAATTAAGTAACAGAACCTACGTATTACATTTTTACTGTTTTATTTATTAAACATGATTTATAAAGTTATATAGGGTCTTAAAAGCGAAAAAACGAGTTTATTTTATCAAAGCGAAAGTAACTTAAATCTATCAAAAAGCAAAAGTATGAAAAAATAAGGTATTCAGCTCGTCTTTATGATCGAACAATGATTTATTTTGTACTGTGTAATCTCCAAAATCTTTTTCTCGATTGATCAAATATATTTTAATTTACGATATAGCCTACGTCATTTAGCCCCAGTTTTTATTACATTTATATTTGTTTTACAACTAAATGTAACTTCGAAAAATTTTATTTTTAAGTGATAAATATGTATCGACGTGATGATAGAATCTACGTAAAGTCTTTTAAAATAATATTTTTGCAGAATATATTCATTTTTTACAGGAAAGTATTGATGTCAAGCCGCTGGAGATGTCTATGAAGGTATTTCTTTTTATTTCATCTAACGAATAGACAACACCAGCGGCTTGACAGCAGCAATACCTTCTTATAAAA